AATTTTAAATAGTTATGTGGTTGTTGTTGATAGTTGTATTGATAGAAAGTGAAAGGAGATAAAATTTTGCCAAAAAGGACTGAATTGTGAATGTTATGACGTTCAAATGATTACTAATTGAGTATAGCCAGATTTGATTATTCAGTCACATCCATAGAATATTTATCGACTGTAATCACTAACTCAGTGTTTCCCAAACCTTGTTCTGCCATGGCCCAGTAATTTTCATACATATTTTCGTGACCCACTCAATACTTTTAAACCCAAGCTGGTTACATTAAGTAAAATAATACACATTTATTGTTAGTGACAATGTTTTACTAATATTATTTCGGTATTGCCTATTTAGAGCAAAGTCCAAGTTCGCAGGAAAAGTTTTATCCTGAGGTCCCATTCCACTTCAACAAGGCAGGAACGTTGCAAACCAGTATTTTATTTTGATGACTCGGTACCGGGTCAGCCAGATGAGAAACGCTGCACTAGCTTATCACAAAAGGGCACAAACAAACACTTTAGAGCCATGTACCGTCCTTTTGCTCCGTTTTAAAAATAGAGAGACTATAGGTAGGGCCTGGAGGGTTGATTACAATATTTAATAAAAATGGAAGTGCTTTGCTACTCTGCGTATCTCAGTAAGGTTAAATGTGCTGACAAAAAATTCAACACATGCACAGCATGATTTAATCTTCAGTGTTTACAGATATTTATTTGTGGCTTGGCAACCAGTCGCAAATAAAATATTAATACTAAACAAAATTGAAGAGCATTCCAGTTATACCATTCATTACATTCCAGATGGTTAAAATATGAAATTGTAAGGAATTTAGTTGTTACCCGCATCTTCCAGTTCTGGAATAGTGTCATCAGAGTCACTATCTGACGACGCGGTCTCTTCCTTTCGCTTCTCTGTCATAGAAGCCGTAGCCTTGTCTACTTCAGTGAGTTCCGGCATTTTTTTCACTTCTGGCATCCGTTTCAGTTCAGGCATACAGTATTTTATTTCTGTTTATTAGAACTGAAATAGATTTTCCTGTGAAAATTATAAACATTATAAGGGGTTTTAGCCTCCAGTCTATAGTAGTAGTTATGATAAATTTTGACTTATTATTGGAAATAATAATTATTTTGATCAACAAAACTATTTTAAGGTTAAGTCCCGTTTAAATACGCGTTTATACGTAAAATTACAAAAATGACCACTTATTGTAATAGGCTTCACCAGGGTTCAAAAACACTTGAAACACAAGATAGGGCACTCAATTTCATAAGGAAATTATTTTTAATAGAACTTATGTTCAACTGTAATATGGGTACTGACACTGTGATACTTAAGACGTAGTTAAGGAAATAATTACTGTAAACGCACACACTATGTTAGCCGGACATAATAATAAGCACAATTAAGATATTTTTCTTAGGATTACGATAGTATTAGCAAATAAATTACCTAGACAGAAAACCTATCCGAACGATTAAATCAATATGGACGAAAATTTCATTCATTTATTCATTCGTATGTATAGAGATGGATGAGTACTGACTGAAAAGCTAAATCACTCATTGAACCACTTATATCTTTAATTAACACTGCGCACTGTTAATCGTCGTAATACGTCGAGATTTTATATATCCAACTTTGTTTTTATTTAATTTCTCCTTAAAATCAATGGAACAAAAAGTACGTAAAAAATATAACAAAACATTATTTGTAGTCATCTTGTTTACAATGAAAAAATTCCAACAATTGGCAGCACCATAAAAAAATATTTTGACACTTCTCTCGATTATCTTCATCACAATACTTCACATTTTCACGTACTTCACTCACATTATCTTTCGCTCTCCTACTTTGTTGGTTGCTGTCTCTGTTTTGTTTTTCCATTGTAAAATTATTTCATTTTTAATTTTATCACAATTAATTTATCATTCGATATCTCGTCGACATATCAGCGCTTTATTCAATATTAATCAATCGTTATTATGCGGTAGACATGACGATAATCATTCGTGTAAGCAAGTGATTTTTTTAAGTCCAAAGTGCAGTGTATATTTTGTAATATTTTGTGATTGTGATAGTTTTTTCGTGCCAAAATGTCTTTGGAAGAGAAGTTCAACGCCGCTGTGAATGTTATTAGAAGCCTGCCTAAAAGTGGTAAGTCTATGCTCAAGATTTCGATATTTGGCTTGCGCACTTTTACTTTCGTCGAATTAGGCTATTTGCTTGGAGTAGAAATTGATTCGATAGTTAAAAAGCTCGTAGTTTTGACCTAGAAACTTAATTACACCCAAAAAATGGTTAGTTGTTGAAATAAAGTCTACAGAGCTTAGTAAGAGACGAAAATGAAATTCAGTTCGAAAATTACTGTTTTTTTACGCATTTCGGAAGCATTATAACGTGATATCTTGAAGTTGGATTACATTTGACTTATTACGTAGTTCATTTTAATGAATAGTAATAAAAATATACGACTATCGCCATATTCACTACATTACTGTTATAGTAATTACTATTTTGATCAAAATTACCATACAAATCGAGTTTCGTAAAGAATATTCTAGAATTTTTGTAATAATTATTATTTTTACTTTATGTTAACCATTTAAGAAAAAAAAGTTGTTACTAAATAAATTTTAAACAGTTACACAAATGAAATTCTTTGTTTCCAAATCTGCAATGGCATTTCATATTCTAGCATGGTCAAGTATAGCCGACACACTTTCCTTTAAAGAGATCTGTGCCTAGTAGCGGTGCCTCCATAACATATATGTTATGGTTAATTTAACACAGCATGATTCCGGTGCCATTTGAGATTTGAACTTTCTATAGTTGTAATGATGTAAAATTCAAATGAAAAAAAAAATCCATTGAAATATCTTATTGAGAACATTTATTTGTAATAAAGAGAGAATTGATTTACAGAAAATAATTTAAGAACAAATAATAAACAAAATAAAAAATATCCATGTTGAATTCTTAGGTTTTCGCAATTGTTACACATGGGAAATGAAACTATTTTTCCAGATTTAAATTGCATGTATTTGTTTTAAAAAAAGACAACATTTTGGGGGTTGTACAGGTCCCATGGTCACGGTTGACTGAGCCGGTACAGTCATCAACCAGCTACATCTAATATCAATGCAAACCACCCGAATTAAATAAAAGTTGTTAATTAAATACCTTATATTTAATTTTACTAAGAACATTCCAATTTACTCTACATCTGTTTTACAAATGATTTTATTTTAACAATATGAAATTTTATTAAGTTAGCTTTATTATCAGTTAATAATGGAAATTAGTATAAATTTAAACGTATTAATCAGTACTGCACATCTTATGTCTGTTTGGGATTTTTTATCAGAGGAAATATTGGATCCCAAACTGGTGGCACGGAGAAACCATCTTCCCTGTTGAAATTAGGATGTTTTTTAATTTCAATGGCCTCTCGCAGCATCCTGGGTAGAAAACGGACTTCTTTTGCAAGGACCTGGGGTTTGTCAAATTTGATTGAATAATAATAATAATAACGCACACACTCAACATAGCCCGGCACTAGGGAAACCCTGTGTCGCGGGTGCCATGGACACACACATAGACAACCACAAATGTGTGAATGTGTAGGTTTATCCATGACATGCTCACAGACTGCAAAAAACATGCCATTATTATGTTAAGTTACCAAAGAACTACACAATAAATAAAAAAATCAACTTGTTAAGCAGACAACAAGTCAACAACAAAGCATAACATCAACTGCAACAAAACAAAATTTGAACAATTACTTCAAAAACTTTTTGCCTCTTGCATATTGCCCCAGCCCTACTCATGAAAGTATTTCAAATTGTGGCCATTGTTTGTTATTTCATTGCATTGTGGTTTTTTTTTATTACCTTTGTTTTTATTGTCATGTCATTGCAATAAATGACTTCTATTTTATACCATAACAAAAACAACATCTGTATCACGTTTTACGCGCGTTTGATCCGATTCTAACGCTCGCAAACATCGCGTTGCAAGCAAGAAGCGTATATACTCCGCTGTAGTTTACACTTAGAATTTCATGTTGAAGACATGACGTGATTTTTTATAGGAAATGAAACTATTTTTGTCGGATTTAAATCGCGTATATTTGTTTTTTCAAACAAACCGACGTTTCGGGCCCTTTACAGGTCCCATGGTCACGTTTGACTGAGGTGGTACAGTCTTCAACCAGTTATGTCTAATATTAATGCAAACCACCCTATTTTTTCACTATAGTTACAATAGTTATTAATTAAATACCTTATTTTTAATTTTACAAAGAAAACATTCCAATTTACGCTACATTAAGTTTTACAAATTATTTTATTGAATGAATTTTTATTAAGTTTAATTTATTATTAATTATTAATAGAAATTAGAATAAACTAATTTAGTTTATTCTATTGAAATTTTTGTTTATTCTATTCAAATTATTTTATTATATGAATATTTTTAGAATTATTTATTATATGAATTTTTATTAAGTTTAATTTATTATTAATTATTAATAGAAATTACACTGAAGTACACTGAATTTGTGAACGTGTGCAAAGGTCTCCTCTCTGCGACCGTATCGCGTTAACGCGTGTACGTCATACGTCTTGTGCATATGCTCTTACTAGAAAATAAAAAAAATACATACTATGCATAATATTATATATTAATATGCTATATTTTGTCATTACCGCTCAGTGATGCCATTTAAACTGCTGTTGTAAAATATATTTTAGGATATCAAGTGACGCGACGAGCAAGTCGTACACCTGGTGGTAAGCGACACTCCTGTCACACCGCCACTGCGCCTGTCACCCTGAGACAGTTGCCAAGTTTTTTTTTTTTTTTTTTTTTATTGTGACTCGGCAAAATGACTGCACCGCGCCTGATGGAAAGTGCAAATACAGTCCAGAGATGAGAGTAACGGATGGAAAACACAAATATCTTCACTCCGTCACTATCATTTTGCCGGTCTGGCCAAATGCTTCTTCACACTACGTTTGAAGGACCCGATGTTATAGAGGGGAGGGAATACATGCGCCGGGAGTTGGTTCCACAATTTGATGGTTCGGCATAAGAACGAATTGCCAAACTTTTTAGTGCGGGACGGTATTGAACTGACCGTCCAACTGTGGCAACGCAGTCCGGCACGGGTGGTCCGCTGATGGAAAGGAGAGGAAGGGATAAGGTTGAATAACTCTTCAGAGCACTCACCGTGGTACAGGCGATAGAATACGCTAAGAGACGCTATATCTCTGCGAAGCTGTAACGACTCCGCATGCTCAGTTACATGAGGATCGTTGACAACACGGAAGGCGTAGCGCTGCAGTCCATCTAGGGCATCGAGCAAGTACTTGGCAGAGCCGTCCCAAAGGTGCGAACAGTACTCCATGCTGCTTCGGACCTGAGCTTTATACAACAGGTATCGCAGCTCTGGAGTAAAAAATCGGTGCACCTTGTTCAGGATGCCAAGCTTGCGCGACGCGGTACAGATGACGCTCTCTATATAGTCTTTGTTGCTCATGTCCTTCTGGATGCTCATCCCCAGCAGGCTGAGCTTGTCCTGCAGCGTCAGCGTTGTACCCTGAAGATGGGGAAGTGGAAGGAATGGGGATTTTTTGGAACTGAACGCGCATACCTGGGTTTTCTTGGCGTTGAACTCAACCAAGTTTCGGGAGCCCCACGACGATATATGTTCCAAAACATGGTTGAGCTCAGCGACAAGTTTTTCCCGGTTTCTCTCAGGGTCCTCCCGGCTGCTTGACGGTTGCTTATAATAGCAACCGTGCACTGCAACCGTGCACTGTGCTATCATCTGCATAGCAATGGATGTTGCCAAAAGGCAACAAGTCATTGATATGCAGAAGGAACAGCGTGGGCGACAGCACGGAGCCCTGTGGCACCCCAGCATTAACTGTCACGAGCCGCGAAGTGCCTCCGTCAACAAGCAATCTTCGCTCGCGCAGAAAGCCGGCGATCCACTCACAAAGGCGGCCGGGAAGACCATATGCCGGAAGCTTGGAGAGGAGACCACGGTGCCAGACCCGATCAAAGACCTTAGCAATATCCAGACTTATCGCTAAGGTTTCGCCCTGTTTGTCGATAGCTTCACCCCAGAGATGCATTAGATACGATAGAACGTCACCCGTTGATCGGTTCGGATGAAACCCGTACTGTCGATCATTAAGAATGGAGTGACGTTCCAGGTGCCGGATTATCTGGATATTTAGAATCCGCTCCATCACTTTGCAGAGCACTGAAGTGACAGCTATTGGGCGATAGTTTGTCGGATCAGACCGATCTCCTTTCTTGGGGATAGGTTGCACGTTGGCCTCCCTCCAAGCTAGGGGCACGTTACCAGATTGGTATGAGAGGCGGTATAAGCGCGTCAGTACGGGAGACAACTCCGCCGCACACCTTTTAAGGACGATAGGAGGTATCCCATCTGGACCATAGGCCTTCCGCACGTCAAGAGTCTGCAGTTCCTTGCGGACATCACATTACCTGATAACTATATCAGGCATTGTGACTCCGCAGTGGGGAATTGACGGCGGTTGCACATCTTGGTCGTGAATGCGCGAGTTAGCCCCAAAAAGGTCGGCCAATAAATTGGCTTTCTCTTCGGGGCCATAGGCCAAAAATCCATTGGGACACCTCAAAGGCGGCAGCGACGAACGACAAAAATTGGACTGCACGGCTTTGGCCAGGCTCCAGTAGGCACGGCTACCGGTGGGATGGGCTACCAGCCTCTGGCCAATCCGTGAAACGCGCTGGGCATCCGCTCTTATGTAAGCCCTCCTGCAAGACTTGGTTGCTTTGTTATAGGCTGCTTTAAGGGACGCAAGGTTGGGATCCTTTGTTACACGACCCTTGATCCAACCACGATATGCAGCCTGTTTCTCACTAACAGCGTCCATGCATTCGCGATTGAACCAAGGGCGTCCTCTGCGATTGGCGATGACACTGGAAGACGGTATGTAGTAATTCATAGCCGTTCCAATCTCATCGACAACAGCATCGGCAGCTGCTGAGGCATCCTTTCCCGCAAAGCAGTGCTGCAACCAAGGGATGGACGCAAAGTAGTCGCGCATACCATCCCAATCCGCCGACGAGTAGTGCCAAATGCGACGAGTGAC